TATATATATATATATATATATATATATATATATATATATAGCTGTTTTTCTTTGTATGATATTTGGTGATTTTAACCACTTTGATAACCGATTTTTCACTATCCCCTGTTTAAAATATTTACTAATCCTTCCCACAAGGAATGTCACTCTTGATCTATTTATTGTAAATAACCCTGAGACGTTTTCAGTTGCATGTCCTCTTATTGGATACTCTGACCAAGCCACTATCAAGATTTCCCCCAAGGTCTTCAGCCTCGGTAACCACAAACGTCTACCCGTTACAGAGGCTATACGCTTCGAAGGTGACAGATTTACCCTGGGACTCAGGGATATGGTTACTTTGACACATTTTACAGGATTTTTTCACCCGGATCTATCTACCCTGTGTCTTCGTTAAACTGACTAGTTGTGTTTCGTTGTGTACTGTCCATGGGAAGCACTGCATCCATGGTCGTTTTTCGTCTCTTTCCGAAAAAAGGAACGTGCGTTTAAATCTAAGGATCCCCGTTTGATTACCACCCTATCAAACTTCGTTAAGATTGAAATTAATAAATTTCCTTTATACTCAGTACATTCTTTCAAACAAAAGCCCTCTAGAGACTTGGAGGAGGCTTGAACAGTTCGGTGGTTTTTCTGTCGGAGGGCGCTCCATCCGTGGATATTGAAAGTATAAACTAAGGAGGAATTAGTTCAATCAACATTCTTCTCGCTGGCATTATATTCCGCCAGGGGTCTGCCACCCGTGAATGATGTACGCGCGGGAACTAAGCTGGTTTTAGACCTGGTTGAGGTTATATATACTATATTTTCACCCTTCGCCAAGTTTTGGAACACTGACATTCCTTTCGTAGACCCACTATTTCTGTCTACTAAGTAAATATCCAAGCATTCCTGTAAAGTTTGAATGCTAGTGTACCCGTGTTTGCACCTTCAAAGTACAAAATATTGCTACAGGGTTGGGTTGGTCCAGCTTCCAACGTCACTCTAACTGGGATAGGAGTAGAGGAAGTAGAAATATTTTTTTATTTAGGCAGTTGCATCTCACCTGGAGGACGCATCACAGATAAAGTGTCGACTCGCATATGGAAGTCTTGATTGGCATTTGCCAACTTGATGCATTTGTGGTGCCGTCGCGATATCCGGCTCTCCGTGAAGAGTNATGCCGTATTAGTTCGACCAGTTCGGCTATACAGTGCCGTTGAGAAAACAGGATAACATTAGACTGTCGGTGTTTGAACCCCGCTGTCTACACAGCAATGCACGAATCTGGTGGGCCAGCCGCACGAGTAATTCTGAGGTTAGACGCAGTTATAGGTAACCGCGGTCGCCCACTGGAGCAAGTGGTCGACCTCCATAGATTACGGTTGTTGTTGTGTCACGCATGTCACCAATAGGTTGCCACAGCGAGCGATGCTCGCCGAGGCAGGTAGTGGATGGAATAAAGCCAAGGGCGGCCAAACTATGACCTAGCAGAAGGGTATGAAAGCCCTAACCAGGAGACTCGGNATTGTGACCGATGGTTACAATATGGCTTTCACAAACAATGGCGCTCGTGCATTTCAATTTTCTCGATGGCGTAGTCTACTGAAATTCTCTATTTTCTCTTCGACTCTACTTTCAACTTTCCAATTTTCCTTCTACCCCTTCATCCAATTGGGTAGCATAAACTACCGCACGAAAATGCATGGTTGACGATTTTACAAACTAAAACCGAAACTGAATTCAGTCATTTATCAGTGTATTGGGATGCTTCCGGAACTCGCATAGTCCATCAAGTCGCTTTGCATCACACTTTGATAAACTGCCCGACGCCCGTCACCCTGTATTTCGATTTCCTGTACTACCTCGCGTTCAAACTCGCACAAAGTTATACGGCCTGTCCATCACTCTTTATTTTACCTCTTTTATGTCACATTGACCATACTTTCCATGTTTCATCCACAACTTTGGGTTGATTCCGTTAAACTAGTGTATTTATACGTGTCTCTATTTTTCTTGAGGCATTTGGCAGCTGAGTGTACACCAGATAGTGTAATGAAGCATTTTCTTGACAATTTCTTTTTTGGTAACAATTATTATGCTATTTCTTATTGAAACTGAAATTGTTTTCCACCTTGTGGGACAGTCTTCACGGGAACAATCCCACACGACATACCTTTTCGAATGGTTGCCTTCCGATACCGATTTACTCTTGTATTATAAAAAAAACGAGTGGAATTAAACCAAAAAGCGTCTATGCAAACTGAGAACTTGAAGTAAACTGACGTCGAGTTTCATACTGAACAATATCGAAATTGACATCCAGGGATGTTCTCCCGGTCTGTGTTTAGTCAGTCAACCAGTCTGTCCTTCCACCTTGAACGAGTGGTTTTGACGTGGATTGAATTTTAAGGTTGATTCAGTTTATGAAGAAAAAGACAAATCCATTCATTACTGGACTGATTTTATATTATGGTTAGCAAAAACAAAAATCGTTCCTAGATTATTCGCTCGCTCTTAAATCTATGATATTTCATTTTAAGTTGAGGTCGTATGTTGTAATCTGCTCAAGTGAAGCGGTTCACCGGGAGGAATTGAAAGTGCGTCTGGTTATTTTTTTCTGTTTTCTTTTTATATTCACAGATGGAACGTTCCGAAATCCTGAATGTAAAGTGACACGCATTGTTGCCACATCAGGTACGTGAGCATGATCCAAAGGGAAGCAGGGATACCATGCGTTTTTCTCTTTTATCGTTTGGTCACAAATTGTTTTCTGTTTCATTCTGCTTTCGATCGATTCACCTCTGAAGTTGATTGTTCAGTTAAAGACATTGGAACAGTGCGAGTCTGTCATAGTCATAGGGTGGTGTCGGCGCAATGGTTTAGTCGCTGTCACCGGCCTGTTTCGGACCCTGTGGTACCAGGTTCGAGTCCTACCACCGCTGCCTAACTTCGGTGGTAAGTAGCTTGCTGTCGTCCGGTTCAATGCCATTCCCTACCCAACGGGGCCTTATGTGGTTTGTCCCGGGACTTGGGTTAGCGGTTTCTATCACTGAACGGCATGTCTTCGTGAAGATGGGTTTACCTGTTTGCTCGTGATCACACAGTGTGTATACTTCATCGCGAATTGACGTGCGCTTGTGCAACTTTCCAAACCATGGTGTTCATTGGTTTATCAGCGTGTGAAATCAACCGATTGGACACTGAAATCACAACGAGATCTTGAGTAATGGCGTCTAAAAGTGTCCTTGGTTGTATTTCAAAGGGATGTCCTGTTCAGTGTTTGAACTATCGGCCCTTACTGAACGGTTCACGTGAAGTAAATAGATCCGAACCCTTCCTTTTAAGACTCGAGTGGTCATGTCTTGATGGATAAACGGCTGAACATCGTGCTTACTGAAAGGACTGGATTTTCTTTATTTTGTTAGCTACTGCCGCGCGACGCGAACTCTTGGTGATCGCATTATCTTTGATTAAGTTGTTTANCTGTGCTAGTTGCAATTAACTGATTTACTCGAACGCGAATTACCTTCATGTAGTGCATTCTAGTGAAACAAATAGTGTGCACTCAGTGAGCTCTTTTTTCATCAAAACTGTCGCGCGTAGCTCCGACAAATTTACTGTAACCCGAAAAAACAAGCGAATTTGTTTAACATTATGCAATCTATGATGATGGTCTGTACTTTTTAGCTGTTAGTTGTATCTGCAGTAGTAGAACAGATTGCGCATACGATCCTGTGAGAATGTCTACTTTGGTTTCTAACAGATACTGACGCATCGGTATTTTCTTCCTGTCTTCGTCCGCGGTTACTATCACACCGGGGTGCATGTCTCGGGTTACTCTTACCGAGACATGTTCGAACCTGCAGATGATTTGCTAACGCGGCAAAATTACTTGAATGCACGTAGTGTTGATGAATAGCGTTTAAAGGACACATACTGGACATTGTTTATTGGTTTAGTGTTTGAGACATAGGAGACGCCTGAAAGAAACCACCCGGTTTCGTGTTCTCTGGAATGGTGGACTTAGTAAGTTTGGGTCCAACACTGCCGGAGCTCGTAAGTGTGAGTCGTGTTTCAATTTTCCGTTGATAATTTTCTTCCTATTTGACTCACTTACTATTTTGAACTGGTTTTGTTTGTCTCTTTTCAGACTTGTACTTTCCATCAACCACGAATTCCACAACGACTCAGCGTAAAATCCCAAAAGGGGAAGTGATGGAAGTCATACAGACTAGTAAAGGAAAATATCTGCGGATTACACGTACTGGAGACTTGTTTGTGGTGAAGACAAATGCTTCAACAACACAGTCTTCCGAATCGTCTACTGGTCAAACTTCAGCAGAAGATTCCAGTCAACCTGTGTCTAGCACCGGTGCACCCTCGACCACTGCGGCGGGAACAGCGGTAGACAAACCACAGTTGCAGCTACCTGGTATGGATAATGATCGTGCTTCGTCTTTGGAGGATGGAGATTCCAAGAACTCTAAGATGATCTCTTCAAAAACATCCTCACATTCGGGTTCTTCAATTTCAAACGACAGATTAGGAGATGATGCTCGTTCTGTTAGCTCCATTGGTCAACGGTCTTCCAAAACTGACCACGGACTTGGCTCAGCTCCCTCTCTCGGTCAAGAAAGTGCGCGAACTTCTTACGGATCCGACGCGATCCGATTTCCGCGAGCCGACTGTGCCACGGACGCTAGCAGCGCGAATCAGCAGCAGCGGTTCACATCTGCCAGTGAAAGCCAGGGCTCCAACGATTCGAGCTTCTCTCATCTGTCTCCTCTGCGTCCACCCAAAGCTGTCGATCTCAACCAACCTCAATTTCCGGCCTCTACTCAGCTTCGGAGTCCTACAGCTACTGCTTCCACACCGACAGCGGTAGCTGCTCATACTGTTCGGACTCCTGAACCATACAGCGCACAAACTGCCCCCACCCGCGCGGCGCATCAGAATGACACTAGGTCGGCCTCCGAGGAACAGTACCACAAAACATCGAGACAGTTGGAGCAGAATCAGTTGAATTCATGGCTTTGCCAAACTTGCGGCCGTCCTGCTCTGATGGGATGTATATGCCAGACCAATTCCAGACAGCATACTGGTTCTGAAAAGCCCAGCGTCCAAGAAGCCACCCCGGCACACACGTCCTCAGGTTCTGGCAAGGGTAGAGAAGTGGCCTGCGCCTCATTCACGGGTTCAACTGGTGTTGGTGATGCTTCAACCCAGTCCTCTCGAGAGAACAGTTTCCTGAGTTCTAACAGTTACGATTCAGGCTTCGCAGCACAGTACTACCAAGCTGCAGCTGTACAAAGACAACATGAACAGCAGCAACAGCAACAGTACCTAAGGGCTGCTGAGAAAGTTGCACGTCAATCGGCAGCCGCTGCCTATATGAATCTGAATAAACAAGCGCAGGCTCAGGCACAAGCACAGGTCCAGGCTCAAGCTCAAGCGCAGGCACAGGCTGCTCAGGCACAACACAGTACCACCTCGGGTTCACATCATTCAGGTGCCATACAAACTCCGCCTCCTCCATCTCGGCGTGATTTTGGTCTCCTCAATCAGGGCCAAAATATGACCTCACCACAGCACATGCTGTCTCACAATTCTTCCTCTCTCCATACCACCGCATCGGTCTCATCCTCATTCCCGAGTTCCCCTGTCCAAAGTCCCGCTTCTGTGGTGCACGAATATTTCGCTCATTTGGCCGGGCAACAACAAGCTGCCAGATTTTCCGTCCCATCTCAGGACAGCGCCCAATCCCATTCAGTTACTTCTGCTATGCAGCAGTATCTTGCTGCGGGTAATCATCAAACTCATGCTCAGTCGAACTCTACGGTGGGAGCTGATTTCTATGCCCATCTGTCACAACGTCATTTTGACCACAACAACCAGTCCCGGGCAGTGACTACTCAACAAGTGGCATCTACGGAGCACCCCACGCGACCAGATGCTTCTCGTAGCCAATTTGCTTTTGGGTCACCGACTGCGCACAGTACAGTTACACCTTTTGACCGACTACAGGCTAGTAATCTGCTTCCAAACTTTCGATTCCCATGATTTCCCCCTCCCTGCGTCTGAGCCGTCCATCATTCTATACCGCCGGTCCACTCTATGCACACATTCGGATTGGTCCATCTCATCCACTCTGTTCTCTACTTCCCTCGTGACCGCTCATTTTTCGTTCTGCTCCACTGTACATACATTTTCACGATCTTCAACGAATCCTCCCGTTTCTGCTGCCTGCTCTCTCGGCCTGTCTTATCTTGACACTCATGTGTATCTCTTTCCTATCCAGATACCACTGAAGACCACCACCACTACTACATGCATGAAGAGTCTAGACATTGCATAATATAGACAATATACGCGTACTCTCACGCTCGGAGCGGAATTCAGAGGAAAAAGGACTTCTAGCTGCTTGGTCCTTGATCGTCTCCGTAACCTCATCCTCTGTTCACTGGCTCTCTAATTTGCAGACTATTCTGGTTACTCTTCGAATGAAATGCCAGGATTTTGTTTCCAAATTAATTTAAACAATAGTCCGATTATGATCCAAACGTCATTTGCCCCTGGGCGTACTTTGATTCTTTGAAGTCTGTCTCTCAACCTATTCCCATCCCTCCCTCTTTTTGGGGCTCATTTTCACAAGTGCTTGCGCGAACGCACGCACACACATGCAAAAATTTCCGTTCTCTCATTACCTATGCGAAATACGTATTGCATTTATGAATAATGTTTTTGATAAATCCTACATCCTATATATTGTCTTGTTTCTATTCATCTTTGTTTGCCGTTGCGTATTCATTTGCACATCAGTTAGCTACAATGCTTCCTTACGTCTATCTGATTGATTTGCTCTTGGACGTTTTGTGTTCGTAATGAATGCAGTGCTTTATTCTCCTGTGTTATGTTTTGTAAGCCTAGTAAGACTAAGTTTTACCATCGCTTGGTTAGGTCGATCAGTTTCAGTTCAGTTTTTACAGCCATTAACCATGCAGTTTCGTGCGCTGGTTTTGGTTACCATCTTTTGGTTGCCCTCTTGGATAAATTAGCAGAGGGAAGATTGAAATGTTGAGAGCAGAGTCAACGAGAGGATGGAAGATTCACGTTAATTGGGGTTACAAAGAAATTGAAATGCACAAGTGCCATTCAACCATATTACTCAGTGTCTCTAACCACTGGATCTCTGGGTCCCCATCCAGAGAGACTAGCAGGATCTACATACCTGAATCTCCTGGTTAGTGTTATCTTGCCCGATAGACGAAGCAAAAGCAAGATTACTTAATTGTTGCTGTCGCCTCTGTATTTTATTCCTCTTCTGGGGACTGAAAATGGCTTGAGCATCCTAATATCGCAATCTTGACTTCCTTTCTGACATCGTAGAAGAGGTCACCTTATTCGAATAGTTTGCCATATCCTTATCGTCTGTTGGTTACTGCTGGTTACTTACGCAGTCACACATTATTCTTACGGTAGATGTTTTCCTGAACTGGAACATCGAGAATGATTGATCAGTTATGTGCTGTTGACGACTTGCAACTTAGATACTCAGCCACTGGGGTTTTTGGGTATTTAGTAGCGTTCAAAATGTGTTTGCTATCAGCCGTCTTTTGGTGGTTGCATGTACCCTGTGTACAATGCGCTCTGTACGCCATCTCCATACTTCGCTCTGCAAACTAGTTCAACCATAAGAATAAGGGTATGTGGGGTGGTGTAAAAAAACTATCTTTCAGGCTTTGAGTATCGTTTTAATTCCAGAAGCCTTTAGACTTGTGTCAGGTAGTGTTTGATCCTGTGGTCAACTCAGCATCCGAGTTCGATGCTTCAACGGAATTCCTAAAGAGAGGACAACTTCGATTTGATCGAATCCTGCTCCGTAGTCTCCCTGACCCTTGTGTACCTGCGGGGGTAATTCCCAAAGATGCTTCTCGAGACTGCCATGGTGTCCATTTGGCCGAGGCAGTAGGAACGGATTAACAAAATTGTAGGCTGAACCAATTTTCTGTTTGATAATCGATTCCGCGCTTGCTTGACCAAGCATATCAATACCCTGAGGTTTCTGATCGATAGGTGCATCTTTGCTGGCATTCAGTTATTTCCTCCATCTCGTTGATCACTGTGATGTATTAGTCTCGTTAAGAGCACCAGTAATTTCGGAATACACTTCACGTACATCTGGTGCGTTTTGTAATCCCAAACAATGGTATTAATCGTCTCAGCATTTTGACTCGTCACTTATGAGTGATATCTGGAGTACTTTCGACTTTGTTCAGCTCTATGAAATGTGTTCTATTTAATTGTCGCTCTCGGATAGTTTGACAAACCACTTCACCCGAGTGTTTTTACTCCTAGTTCAGTTGGTGTTTTGTGTGTAGAATAACAGTTATTGACTAAAAGAATTACCCACTGCTAGAGGTTGCACGTTTCTTTTGTCCTTTCAGAAAATGCCCGCAGAACAGAAGTTTGTTGAAACCATTGAAGATCTCATCTCGACCGCGAAAGAAGCTTTGAAAAAAAATCATCATGCATTTGTGCTATTTTCTGGATCAACCGATTTGAAAACAGGCGATAGTTGGTGCGCCAACTGTCAAAAGGGTACGTGTGCGACCGTTGTCACTGATTCCGTCATGTGTATGGTGATAGCATTTTAATTTTTAAGGACTTTTTTTACCCCGCATGCAACTTAGGTTGCTTCAACACTGGTAAGATGCTGTGTAATGTTTCGTATTGGCCGCTCTAATCATTTCAACGTGTGAACATACATACCGTTGCACTAGGTACGATACGATTCCGCTAGTATGACAACAGAACGAGTCTTTAAGTATGTGAGTGGGTTAATTGGAGAAATGTGTTTTATTACGCCGTTTCATGCTCAGAATTTAGCGAAATGGACCCACTACAATTTTACCATCCAAACTCCAAGACTCGGAATGTCGAATGCCATAATTGGTGTTTCATAGAACGGAAAATTTAGTCTTCGTCGAGTGCTGTACCTTTTCCCATCAATTTTTAGCCAAAATCCACAATTCTTTAGCCTCGACCCGTATTACTTCAACGGACAGCCGCAGTGCTTGAGCTCTGACCCAGATTTCTTTAAACAAAGCCCCTAATTTTTTTAGCTCCAACCCACAGTCCTTTACAGTTGAGCCACAATTCTTTAGCCGTGACCCTCAGTTTAACCTCGACGCACAAACTTTGGTCATGCTAATACAGGGAAGTCAAACCAAAAGTATCGGAATATACTGATGAGGTCAACAGGTGTTGGAACTTTTTGTTTTTTTATCAAGTTAATGTAGCAAAGCTTGGTTAAGAAATGATGTGTGGTGATCGTAGTCTGCGCAGTCGATCGCCCTATTGCTACCAAATACTGCACTATATATTGATTAGGGAAAGTTTAAACGACGCTCTCGTATCGTCAAACTATTTGGCACATGTCGTATGGCTTCAGTGTTTTCAGTAAATCAGTTCATAACGTGCTAAATAACGGGCGAATTAGAATATTAAAACGCTCACCGGTTAACATTCACTGAACTCCTCTTTCAGCCAATCATGTAACATTTTTCTTTTTTATAAAGATAATTTTACCGTGATTTGTTTGGCACAGTCTGACCTCAGACGAGTGTGAAATATAATAATATACCTCTTCCAGCGGGTTAAAAAAGAGGCTCTGTGATTCAATAAATCGAGTTTGGTGGTTGGCATGCAACTACGCATCTAAAGCCCTACGATAAAGGAGGGGGGCATTGTCAAGGATAAATGTATTGGAACACTTGAGTTGAAGTTTGTCCTAGAAAAGTGGAAACGGTAACATTCAGAGGATAATAGACACGGTTCATAATAATACACCCCAATTACTATCATCACTTTATTCGCGCTACAACATCTGACCCAATTACGATAGTCGATTACGCAGCGCACGGTCCCCACATGTTCTCATTTCTTGATCAAGCTTTGCAAAGTTAACTTGGTCGAGAATTAAATGTTCGTTCATCTCATCAGAATATCCCGACACTTTTTGATCTGACTTCCTTGTATCGGCATGACTAAAGTTTGTGCTTCGAGGCTAAAGGACTGCGGGTCGTGGTCACAGAATTGTGGGATTTGGCTCAAGCTTAATGACAAATGGTGTAGATTATTGGAAGTGTTTCCCATAAAGCAAATACATCCTATATCTTTGACTGAAGAGCGGCGTTCAACTCGATTCAGAGAAAGATAGTTCCACGAACAGATGTGCCTGAAAGCTTACCACTCTCAAGGTTATATATGTGATTTGGGACGGTATCTGTAAAGATTGGTGATGCGTTTTCTTTTTTCCCTTCTCCTTCCTTTTATTGAATACACATTGAGGGAAGCGGCTAACCCAGTCACAGTACAACACAAATGGGGTGTCAGGCGGTGGTGGTGGGATTCGAATCTGTCCTCCGGGGTGGTAATTTGGTGANNTATATATATATATATATATATATATATATATATATATATATATATATATGTATACTAGTCTTTACAGATAACGTGCAACGATACAGCGATACGATGCAACGATACCACAAAAGAATCCGAAAGTTTCTTGCCTCTTACCGCTAGTACTACTTTGTTGACTGTGTACGGCTCTAGGCACCCACTCTGATGGTGTTCAATCCAGTTCCGGTACTTTATCGTACTATTTCAAATTCGTATGTGACATCGTCATCCTAGCTGTCCTACAGCCAATTCTGAGTCATGTACCGCTTTTCTCAAATACGTCGAGACTGGAGATAAACACATCAAGCAGCAAGATATTTTCTCCTTGCGGTTCGCAGTCCACACCCGAAATGTGTCAACGGCGAGCCAATGAAATACCTTCATTCGGTGAAG